CGCTTCGAGACGCTGGCCAGACCGCACCCCGAGAGAGGCCTGGGCAGGAAAGCGCGACCACGACAGCACGCCCAGAATGACACCATGGTAGAGGATCGAGGATCGTTTTCTCGTTATGTTTGTTTGGGCCTCCTCGTCACCATGGCTGGCTTCGCTTCGGAATTCAGGCCAGAACGCAGGAAGCACGACGAGGACTCATCGCCCTCTTTCTAGTTCCCTACCTAGGCTCTGCCTAGAAGGGTTCTTACTCTCTTAGCTTAAAGGGGCCGGGCAGTGGAACACGCCCCGGGCGGTTCCCCCAGTCCCCTGGGAGCGGTTCCCCCCAGTCCCCTGGGAGCTTTAGCTTTAGCTTTAGCTTAGCTTTAGCTTAGCTTTAGCTTAGCTGTAGCGTAGCTTTAGCTTAGCGTTTCGCTTAGCTTTTCGCTTAGCTTTAGCTTAGCTTTAGCTTAGCTTTTCGCTTAGCTTTTCGCTTAGCTTGAGCTTAGCTTTAGCTTAGCTTTAGCTTAGCTTGAGCTTAGCTTTAGCTTAGCTTTAGCTTAGCTTTAGCTTAGCTGTAGCTTAGCTTTAGCTCAGCTGTTGCTCAGCTGTAGCTTAGCTTTAGCTCAGCTTTAGCTTAGCTTTAGCTTAGCTTCAGCTTAGCTGTGGCTTAGCTTTAGCTTAGCTTTAGCTTAGCTTTAGCTTAGCGTTACTGTTACTACTAATGCTGCTTTCCTAGGGGTTCCAACTCCTAGGTAGGGTCGCACTGGGATATTTTTTTTGCGGGCCATTTCTTCAATCCTGGCGCTTTCTCTTGGACTTTGGTTTCTTTGCGACCGTTGGGACCATCAGGGATACAGGACGAAAGCTTGCTTCCAGGGAGGGAGGCGTGTCGCGAGCTCAGGGTCGAGAACGCTGGTTGGCCGGAAAGCACGACGGCCATGTCGGTTGATAGATGTGCTAGGATCGAGGATTCCCGGATAGACTTGTGAATTTAATGGCTGTTTGTTTTAGGCGAGGGTTACCCCACGTCCGAATTCGGTAGCACGTGATCCCCCGCATGGTCTCCCGTGTGGTCTTCCGTACGGTCTCCTGCATGCTTTCCCGTGTGGTCTTCACATGTGGTTACCCGTTTGGCCTCCCGTTTTTTCCAGCACAGTTTCTCCCATGGTCTCCCGCATGGTCTCCCGCATGCTCTCCAGCGAGGTCTCCCGTGTGGTCTCCCGCGCGGTCCGACGCACGGTCTCCCGCGCGGCCCCCCGCATCGTCCCCTGGATGGTCTCGCGTAGGGTCTCCAGTGCGGCCTCCCGTGCTTGAGCTGGGTCTCCCAGAGGGTCTCCCGTGTGGTCTCTCCCGTGCGGTGATCCCGTACAGGGTCTCCCGCAGGGTCGCCCGCACGGCATCCCCCGTCTGGACGTCGGCCGCCAGGGCACCTTGTGTGCAGGACGCGTGGTCCAACGAAATTACTCCTGCCGGGTGCTCTCCAGCGGCACTCCTTGCAGGTGCCTCCTTCCGTAGCCTACAGCGCCAAGGCTCGGCTTTGCTTTTCTCGAAGGTGGGGTCTGCTTCCCCCAGGTCTGGCTCGGGGGGGAATTACCCTGGCGACGTACCCAACCCCTGCGCAGTGCTGGGCAGGACCAGCCTGGGACATTTGACGAGGCGGCGACGTGACATGGACGCATATACTTCTG